ACACACACACACAAAATTAAAACAGGAATAATTAACTTGATGTCTTATTTAAAAAAACTATTTAGACGATTATTTTTATGTGGTAGGCGATTTGATAGGCGTAATATGCGGAGTGTTTATTTGCTTGAAATTAATGTATAAGCGATTAGGTAAAGTTGTGCCATCAGCCAGGTTCTGGTGGCGTATCTTTTACGATACACCGATCAGAGCCCCGCTACACCGATTTAGAGTCTACCGCCCCCAGCTCCCTGTGATTTGAGGCAAGTCCAGCACCAAAGAACTTTCGTTTCCTTTTTCCCAAAGAAAAAGAAAGACAACAGGGACCGTGCCACAGGAACTCGTAGCCTTCGTACTGTACAAAGAAGAAATAAAGATTAGAGTACAAAACCCACTTCAGTTGATGGTCCCTTTAACTAGACAAGGAAAAATGCGACGCTACTTAATTAATGTAAGATTATTAATGTGAATAAAGAAAATTGAGGAAAAACTGAACTTATCGTATGTGTTTTCTTGCCTAGAAATACACGCAAAATTTTCGCGAGCGTATTTTTTTTTTTTTTTTTTTGTAAATCCCATCCTAGTCCTTCCCCCTCCCCGCCCCTTTCCCTTCCAGAGTTGCTAACAGTTGCTGTCTGACTGAATGTCCGCCTCCCCCTCCCCTCTTCATCCCCTCACCCGGAGATTTTCGACGTATTCGGCCAGTGTCATATCCTGATTTGAAAACAACGCACAATGACAAGTCCTTGCGTGTACTTTTCGCTCTTTTACGTTGTGCTGACTCTGTGCATAATTTTCCCACCGCCTGAATTCAAATCAGCGGGGCTGACACTTGAAGTGATCTTCCAAAAATGGCTTGGAAGCGAAAACGAAATGTTCATTCAATACCACGTTAAACGGACATCAATGAACTTATTCCTTCACTCCATGGTCCCATTTGGTAAGAAACTTTGAGCTCCATCTTCTATATAGAAAGATAAATGCCTAGTTGCGAAATTCTAACCTCACTTTGTTGTTATTATTGCCAGGTTACATTCTGGGTTTGGAGTACGTGAGGGCTTACAGCTATGCAGACGTGGAACAACAGCTATTGCCAACATGGAGTTACTCATGGAAAGTCTATGTTGTGACCGCTACCCTCATCCCACTTACAGTGTGTGCCTTCTTTTTCTGGTGGTTCCCTAATCTGTGGAAAAACCACCCAGTTGCACGTAAACTGGCTCTCTATGCCAACCCAGGAGCCACTTGGTGGGCTGTAGCTTCAGATATCAACATTGAATTTAGAAGAATTAATAAAATTAGTATTCAGTCAAGCTCAGTAGTTCGGGTTGTGGCGACTGACAACTGGGTCATTAAAATATCGCCATATACTCTCGACGTAGCTCATCAATCTGACACAGCACTCATTCTCTCTAGTGCTGACGTTCACCCGTGGTCACCACATATAAATGATAATGTCCAATTTGTCAATATTGAGGTGAAACCTACTAGACAGAATGCTAGACCATTTAAAATAAGGTTTGTCAACATTTCATTTTTAAGGGAGCTTCTAAAGACTAAAGACTCATCAGTTATTTGACTGCTTTGTTTTGGTTCCAGACTGAATGCCTTAGATCTCAAGGATCTCCAGAATCGTATTACCCGCCCTATCACTATTTTAGGGAATGTCAGAGTACAAGGGTCTCTCACGGACCGATTTTTAGAGACATTTTCTGAAGAGGTGTCAAAAAACCCTGTCTACTCTACAACTGAGGTTTGATTTTTCTGTTAAAATTAGTTATTACCATCATTAAAAACAAATTGTTAATTACTGTATTTTTTTCCCCAGGAACTTGAATCATGCATAGGCTGTATGCAAGTTACAGCCAATGTCAAATTACGTAAAATGTGTGAGGAGCTACCTGCTCACCGGGACAGCTGCACAAATTGTTATTGTAGGCCCATGTGGTGCGTGGACTGCATGGCTAGATGGTAAGACAAACATGGAGTTAGAACAATTATTTTCTTTCACCACCCTACTAGAACATGATATTATTGTTTACTTACTGTGCTTCCAGGTTTGCCTCCAGACAAGAGAAGGAGCCAGCCACTTGGTTGTCCTCTAAGTGTTCCTGCCCATTATGCCGAGCACGTTTCTGTATTCTTGATGTATCTCCTGTTGTTCAAGAGTAATCTAGTTTGCCAATGTCAATGACTGCCCATAAGCTAAGGACATAATAAGTGTTGCTAACTTGTAATAGTATTAATTTTATTAAGATACAAAAAAATATAACGAGATGTTTACAAGGCCATGGTGGCAGCAAGCTTTCAAACTACTATATCATACTTAAGTAATAGAGCAGCAAATGCATAATACTGATAGTAATTCAGTCTTATGACTAATGGACACTGGCACTTGAATTTCCAAATTTGTTCTTGGAATGATTTCAGCAAGTTCTAAGCGATAGAGTATTGCATGTAACATTATAACATTATTTAAATGCAAATTTTTATAATCTTCAGAAATAACTGTAACCACCAAGCACAACTGTATATTTCACCTCTGGGGGAAACCCACGAGGTCTTCTGTGATGAAACATGTGATGATTCTTTGGATTGTACCTATTAAATAATCTAAGTAGCACAGGTTCACCTTACAATTTTTGTTCAAGTTATCAAAAAACAAAAAAAATAAGGAATTATTGACCTGTAAGAAAAATGAAATTCAAAAAATATAGATGATATTTATAGAATGAATTGAGTTTCATTTCTGAATTGTCACTAGCTAAGTTCATACTGCACTTTCTCTGTTGACAAATGGTTCACGCACGAAAAAATCAATCTGTTTAACCAATTTTAACAATGTTATGCAATGTAGAGTAACCCTGAAATTGGACAAGTGTTAACTTTTCATAGAACAGCACAAAAAAAGCATGAAACTAGAAGTGGCATGAATCTACCCATGATCAAGACCATAACACAGTACCTTTGACAAAGTACATATTTATTGGCAAAAAAAAGGGGGGGAAAAACAAACAAGGTCATAAGAACTCTCCTATCTACCCAAGTTAGATGAACAAAACAGAAAACTAACATGGTAAGGCAAAGATATACGAGAAGGTTGGATCCAATATGAAATAAGACAAAAAATTGTGTACTTCCCAATAGAAAGTCTTAAAACTTAGATATGGATGCTTTACCACTTACAAAATCATGGACTTACTTTACTATCTTAAACAAAAACAAGAACAGTTTTAGAGAGCAATAAAAAACTAAATGATATTTTCCCTATCAGTAAATAATAGAGGTTTAAGTTCTATTATAAAGGAACTTGATTATTGATAGAAGTGAAACTGAACACTTTCTTCAAACATACAAAATAGAAGAAAACCAACGATTAGTGATGCTTCAATGTCAAGATATGAAAATCATACAACTGTGAGGAAGTAATTTTTTAAGAATCAAGGTTTCTAGCTAATCGACCTCTTCCTTTACCAGATACTAAAGGAACATTTCCAGGTTCAACAAAACTTGCCATTCCATTGAAACTATTACCGTTTATCATACCAGGGATAGACGGTTTATTTTGATGGGTTTGCATTCCTGGCATGATGTTTGGATAACCAAGATGACCAGGAAATCCGTTGGAAAAGGCATTCATGGACCCTAGAGGGTCAGGAGGGACCATATTTTGAAATCCTGCCTGATTGCCTTGAAGCCCTAGCATGTTGTTTGGATAGTTATTTAGCAGCCCAGGCATAGGGGGTAATCCAGTTTGGGCACCAGGCATTGGGTTAGGCATCATAGGAAAGCCTGTAGGAAATCCATTTGGCAATCCAAGCATGTTTGCCTGCAGAGAATTTGGTAGACTGGGTGGCAGGAGATTGGGTAGCCCAGGAATGCCCCCAAGGTGACCAACAGGATATCCTGGCACATTTGCGCTTGGCAATCCGTTAACACCCCCCAGTGACGGATTGAGGGAGCCAGGAAAAGATATGTTATTTCCAGTTTGAATCTGAAAAATAAAATATAATAGATACAGTACTTATATCAATGATTAAGCCTCAAATATGTAGTTATTTTGTTCACTTTACCTGATTTTGAGCTCCACATTGTGATTGTTGTTGAGTCTTATTCACACCCGCCATATTCTGATCTGTGGGCAGAACTGGTGGTATGAATCCCATTGACTGCTGCATAAGCATCATCTGCATCTGCATCTGTATCTGGGCAGCCATGAGGTTTGCCATATCTTGTGCTTGTGGCATTTCAGGCAGCTTGTTGGGTGCCATGGAAGCTAATGGGTTCAGAGAGGGCAAAACTGGAGGTATTGATGGTTGCTGATACGGCGGCTGCACTTGCTGAGCTTGCTGGGCAGGTGAGGGGCTGACTTTGTTCTGAGGGAGTTCTTTGAGCATTGTTTGTTCAACAGTCTGAATTGGTGGTGGCTCTAATACTGCTCCAGCTGATAAATCTACTTGATCAGCTGGAGACCATGTGGGTGGCCTAGTACTACTTGGTTTACCAGGTATTTCACTGTGGATAACAAAGCTCGTGTGACGCCTGCCATTGACAGAAGGATCAGTGACTTGAGGTTTAGTTTCCATGCTTGTCTGAATTGATGGTTTCACAGATGACATCAGAGAAGGCATTGATGTTGGTAATCTGGATGGCCTAGAAATACTGCTGTGGGAAGAATCCTCAGCAGAAGTAGCTAATTCATTGTCATGGTTCTTGGTATTTAGTGAGGTAGTTCGCAAATACTGATTTTCCTCTGGATTAATACTTTCCCGCTCATACCTGAAACAATTCACGTCCTAAATACTTGTACATCAGAAATCTATTTATTTGAATGGAAAGTACTTACCTCAATTGTTTAGCTTCAGAAATTTTGTTTGTAATAGCAGCCTTGTCACTAATGTGGTCTGGTTTCAATCCAAGCTTCTGTACAGAATTGGTAGTCTGTGACATGGTCAGAGAGAAAGGCATTGGGCCATGGTTTATCCCACTTGAAGTCTTGCCATCATCAACTTTCTGAGCGTCATAGCATTTAACAGTGCTTTCCTCCCTTGCAGATGTAATTTTTTTGGAATCAAAACTTGTGTTCATTGGAGTTTTGCAATCCATTTCCTCATTTGTTTGATGGTTCATAAGCATTTTCTTAAATGCACTTATTTCAGAACTCTGTGGTAAACTGTCCAGATGTTTCTGTTCAGCAGAATTCCAAGAATCAGAATACTTTGTCTCTTTATTGCCAAGATCTGATGTTATGTTTTTCTTCTGGTCAGCATGGTCAGTGGTGGTGGTCAAGTAGATGAGGGGCTTGGGAGGTATCTGGGCACAATCAGCAGACTTGGATCTTACACTTGAGTTGGGTCTTTTAGTTTCCATTTTAGTATCACCCCAAGAACTGTCATCAGCATCAGCACATTGGTCTTGGGCGAGATTTTCTGAGATAACTCTTGCAGGTAGAGCCTAAAATTAGAGATAAATTGACAAGAACATATTTAATATGCAAAACCCAGTAGTACACCATAAGGTATATCCAGATAATATAAGATGAAATTATAAAATGTAAGATAAAAGATAAAATAATTACATTATTGATCTTTGCAGCAGCTTCTTCACTGCATTGTGTTTTTATCACTGTAGTCTGATAATTTTCTCTTGGCTTGGTAGGTATCTGGGTGTCAGCATACTTAGATCTTTGACTCAAGTTGGGACTTTTAGTTTCCATCTTTGTTTTACCCCAAGAACTGTTATCAGTATCAGCATATTGGTCTTGAGTGAGATTTCCTGACATAACTCTTGCAGGTAGAGCCTAAAATTAGAGAAAAATTGAAAAGGACATTAGATTTAGTATGCAAAACCCAGTAGTCCACCACAAGGGACAATGAGACAAGATAAACTTAAGATTGAAAAAAATAACATAAGTACATTATTGAGCTTTACAGCAGCTTGTTCACTGCTTTGTGTTTTTGTCACTGCAGTCTGATAATTTTCTTTGTCCTCACAATATGCAGCAATGGGCTTAATGGATTGAACTTGAACGGTGGGAACATCATTACTCCTGGGTGAAACAAACAAATGCTCTTTTGTAACAATGTCTTTTAAGAGTAGGTGCATGCCTTTTAAACTAAGGGAAACAATAACTCACTTGGGAAGAGTTAGTCCACTAGATGGATTCACAAAATGCATAATCCTTTCTTGTTCTTGTTTTGCTGTACGGATACTCTCTGCAATAGCCATGGCCATTGCTTCATCTTCATCACAATTAATGCCATATGCCACAATGGTATTACTTCGGACATCAGAAAAAAGAGTTGATCCACTTTTTTGTAACCATGGGTTATTAGCAGTTGATGGTGGGGGCCCTAAAAGTCCAGTATCATTAACAATAAATTGCAAGGAAAATAATAAAAACATAAATAAAAATGGGAAAGTTGATAAAATTATTCTTAGCATCTGACAAATGTACACATAAGGATATACCTGGAGTGAAAGGTAACCCATAAGATGGAACTCTTGGAGTAACTGGTCTGGGAGGGGGAGGATGATTTAACTGAATTGGCAGTTCATGACTTGGATTATTTTTGGCAACAAGCTTTCCATTTTCAAGGAAAACAACTTCAGACACAGACCTACTGCGCTTACGTTCTTTTGGCTTTTTCACTTTATTACACCCACTGTTCAATCAATAGAGAAACAAAAATAAATAAAAAAAATAGGAAAATAACAACACAAACATGAATGTAGCTGGCTTACCTGAAATATTCATCCTCTTTTTCATTGCGTTTGGGTTTCAAAGCGTGCAGGAAGCCACCATAATCTGTTTCTTTCTTTGGCCTAAATGTGCAATAAATCAAAAATTTGATGTGGATTGCATCTCAATGTTAAAATATTTAAAATGGCCATAGACTTACTTGACAACTTTCCAAGTCTCTTCTTGATTCTTCGACCATTCCATAGAATGTAATAATTCTAATGCCTTTTTCCTATCTTCAGAATCATCAGAAGAAACTGCATTACTCCTTCTAGAATGGGACAAAAATTAAATGGCTAGGTGAAAGGGAAAATTTTAAAAATAAAATGTTTAGCACATATTTGCACTGACTTTGCTGCTTCACGAAGTAATTCATTCACACGTTGATCATTATAGGACTTTAAAACTTCTTCATCTTCTTGAGAATCTTCACCTTTATCCGAAAATGAACAATTGTTGGCAACATAGGACATGAGAGGAAAATTGTCTACCTTCTTCTTGGGAGGTACTACAGCCCCCACTATTCCACCTGTCCTTAATGCGCTACCACCTCCATAGACTTTTTTGTTGACAGTTGATGATGCCATTTGAAGTTGATAGTTTGTTGAAACACTCTGCAAGGAACAAGCGAGGGAGAGACTGGTTACTGTATCAAATAACAACACTGATTTGGGGGTTATAGAGCCCTCTGCACCTGACGCCACTAACAAAATTTCCAGTCGACAATAATCGAGATGACATAAACACCTCCAAGATTTTTAATGAATCAAGCAACAAGGACTGTATAGAAGGCAAGATCCATACCAAAACTCAAGCCGTTCAAGTGAAATTCAAGGCATCCGATGCATGTGCCGCAGAGCAGCAGAACATGTAATATGAGCCGCCCCAACTAAGACTGCCAAGCACGACCGGTTCAACTCACCAACACACATAAAGAACAGCTGATTTCAAACACACGACTCTCTTCAGTGTCTTCAAATGGTAAACCAGCGACACTTTTCCATCCTACAATGGATATAACCAAAATGTAAACACAACCAAATTCACCACGAGCCTCGCGCGGGGAATGACGCTCTGCCCTGAAAGAGAATTGCCAACATGCCGAAAAGACAAGTTGGTTGTTGGACCCTTTGGGACTCCCCGAGGTAAAATATTTTGGTGATGAAACCACACACAGTAAAAGAATTAAAAAAAATAATACTTTCATGAGCGTAAAATTTTTATTTTACAATCATTCAAAAATATTTTTAATAGTTGGTGCCACTGAGATAAACAATCGTTTGTGTTCTGCTGCTTTTGTTGTTGTTATGATGATGGCGGGATGCAAGCATTGAGTTAGAGCTTCTAAACTGTACACATATTTCCAAATTATATTGTGCCTCTTTACACACGATGCCTCCCGTAAAATTCGAAAGGATTGTTAGCTGCAGTAGTGAAGATCCTGTAAGTTGTTATGCAAGGATGTTGTCTGTAGCTCATGTATGTGCATGAATGAATTGTACCATTCTAACCTACTCAAAACAAATTTAGGCCCACCCATCCAAAAACTTACTATTTGGGAGAGAATTCAATCGTAAATGGAAATGCAAGGAAGGGGGAGAAGAAAGTGCTACAGTCATCATTCAACTTTCTCAGCCCTACATTTTAACTGGCATTGATATTGGCAATGAAAGCTCCTCTTTCGTCGAAGTGTTAGTCAGCCGAACTAGTTCACCTGATGATTATCAGGTAAAAGTTTTCCTAACATTTGTGTGGATTTTAATTTATAAAGAGTATAAATTTAATTATCATTTGTATTCTACAGGTATTACTTGGTATGTCCTCCTTCATGACACCTATGGATGCCCGGAATGAAGGCAGTAACAGGAATCGAGTGCGAATGTTTACAACAGATAATTTATCAGATTCTGTAAGAACAGAAAAGTGGGATCGTATAAAGGTTGTTTGTACCCAGCCTTTCAATAAACATCTACAATATGGCCTTTCTTTTATTGTGTTGCACACTACTGAAGCAAAGCAAGATGTGAGATGTAATTCTCCCAGTAAGACTCTGGGACGTTTTGCTTTAAAAGGTGATGATGAAACTGATATTAGCATTGGAAGTTTTTTCTCAAGGCGCAAAGACCTACAAGCATCCCCTCCTCCATCTCCTGTTAATCTTAAAGGTCTGTCTATCTTGAAATAAAATACGTTTTTCTATACTATTTACCGGACATGTTATAATTAGTCTGTATTTTAAAATTATAACAATATCAATCTTTTTTTTCAGGAGCAGCTGCTGTCAGAGATGCATCATCCCCTGCTAATTTAGCAGAGCAAAAGAATAAAAAACGAAAAGGAAGTGATGACTCAACTGACTCTCAAAGTAAGATGATTTTGCAACTTGCACCTACTTATCCAGTAGACATTTAAGCTTCATATCTCCAAGTGATCAGCATTCCTTCAGTATTCGTTCTTAATTTTCTTTAAGTACCTTTTCCCTTTTCCCAGAAAAAAAACGTGGTAGACCTACGAGAAGTCCAGACACAAAGAATACAAATGGAAGTCCACTTTTAGCTGAACACAAGCAATTAAAATATGATGCAGACAAAAAAGACAAATGGGATGATAAAGGAAAAGCCAATTCTGACAGAGGTAGTACCCCAAGTAGTAAGAAGAAAAAGGCTACAACCCATACTGATACTGCAGGACCTTCAAGCTCAGCTGGAGATGTCTTATCCAAAGATCAATCTAATGTGAAGAAAACTGTAGATGCTAGTACGAATGTTACTTATAAACCGTTCAATAAGCTTTTTGAAGGTGTAGGCATTGTTATTAGTGGATATGAAAACCCTGGAAGATCTCAATTTAGAGACAGGGCTCTTGCAATGGGAGCAACATATAGTCAGAATTGGAATAACTCCACTAGTACTCACCTCATGTAAGTGCTGAATTCTTACTGTGAACTCTTTACTCGCTGTTTTTCTGTACCCTTCACAATTACTGTCAAATTTTTTCACAGATGTGCTTTTACAAGCACACCAAAGTACAGAGAAGTAAGAGGAAAGGCCATTATTGTAACTCGTGAATGGGTTGATGATTGTTTTCAAGAACGGAAGAAATTATCATGGAGAAGGTATTCATACATTACTTTGCATTACATTAGATTACATAACATTAATTGCTTTGTATTACCTTAATGTACTGTATGAACTACAACTAACCTTTTCCATCTATCTTGTCTAGATATGCATTAGACAAAAGTGAGCAAAAGGATGCAAACAGCTCACCAGAACCTGAGGTCTGGGAACTTATTCCGGACATGTGTCCTCAGAATAGTTCCCCTTTGCCTCCAGCTAGTCGTCGAAACAGTGTTGCTATTCAAGACACAAGAGTAGGTTCTGAGTCTGAAGATTCAGAAGATGAAATAGAAAGGTAATTTTTGGGACGGGAGATAATGTGTAGCTCATTATTTTCTTGATTTTCAAAAAACTTTTATTCTGTACCACTGTATTTTTAGAATTAAGGCAAAGAAAAAATTAAAAACAGAGAAACTTGAAATAGAAAAAAAACAAGTTACTAAGGAAAACAGTAAAAAGACATCAGAAGGAAAGAAGGACCAACAAAAACCAAAAGATGATCGGTACAACTGTAGTACTGACATTGACAGTGAGGAAGAAGCTGAAACTAGGCTGACTAAGTGGTCAGCTGAGAAAGACAAGAAAAAATATGATTTTCCTGTTCTGCCTGATTTCTTTCGCAGAAAAACATTTTACCTGTCTTCTGACCTATCTGAATCTGAGAAAAGCACTCTTAAGAGATACATAATAGCATATGCAGGGTGAGTACATTTTGTTTGACATACTATTTAATTGATTAATAGCAATATTTTAGAGCTGACAATATTCTCAATTTTCAGGGAGATTAAGACATATAAGAACAACTCAATCAGTTATGTAATAACCAATAATAAATCTGAAGTAGAGGCGGGATCAAGACATGTTTTTGTCACGCCAAAGTGGGTGTGGGAATGTAATGACCAACAAAGACTGGTATCTCCAATTTTGTATGGACCTAATTAACTTATTACTAAACATATGGAATATTGTTGAGTATAATTATGATTTTTTTTTACTCTCAAGTACAGAAATCATTAAATGAAGTTACACTAAATTATGTTTTACTTTTCTTATCATTGCTGATGGAAGGAAAGGAAGAAATCTTACGAAATCACATATCACATTCTCTCCTGTTCGTTTTTCCCGCGCTCGTTCCTCTCCCCTCACTGAACCCTGGCCACAACGGGGGGCGGCCGTACTTACAGCCATCATCAGAAGGCTACCGGAGGGAAGAAGGCGATACGATTACAAATTTTCATATCGATATGATAAACATGTTCTGCTAAATAATCTCAACCTGTTTGTTTTCACTCTCTAGTCTCACTGAGGCAATGTCATTTCTCCCAAAGCACCACTGAGCAAGAGAAACACCCACAGAACTCAACGTGGAGGTTTCACAACTTGTACAGAGATTCCAGTTCTGATTACATAAGCCCTGCTGCCTTATCATAACCCCACCACTAGAATGACTCACGCAATACAGAGTAATTTAGTGAAGCTAGGAGGCCACCTAGCTCGGGCAGCAGTGCTCAGCCAGAACCCCCGGATCAATAGATTCCAGCGATTCAATTGGGGACACGTCCGCCGGCTGACCACCATGTCATCTCAAATTCCCCTTTCATCTGACTTTCTATTCAGACAGGTAAGTGGTATTGAACCTTGATTCATTTATTTCTCTCTCTCCTAGTTGTCTATTACATTAAGTGAAAAATGGAACAGCTGAACTCCATTGTCTTAATCCTTTCATGTGTCTGCTTCCTCCTATTGATGGATTTACTTTTTGTTTTGTTTAGATGTTTGATCCAACAAGTTGCACGTACACTTATCTTCTGGCAGATACTGAAAGCAAGGAAGCAGTTCTCATTGATCCAGTGTTGGAACAGGTGGACCGTGATGCTGGTGTTGTGAGAGACTTGGGGCTTTCCCTGAAGTTTGTTAGTAAGTACTTCATGTATAAATTTCTTAATATTCTAAGCATTCTTCAAAAAATTATACTTTAATTATTAGGATCAACTCATTTATATGTAAAAAAAGAAATAAAAATAGAACAACATGGCTGGAAAAGAAATGAAAAGAAATATATCACTGCCATGTACAGATATGCTAGGTAGTTTACAAGGTCACTGACCACCACAGAGTTTTTTAATAGCAAAATTTCCCTTACAGTGAACACACACATGCATGCTGACCACATTACAGGGACAGGTCTCTTAAAAAAGAAAGTCCCTGGATGTAAGAGCTTAATATCTGAAGCTAGCGGAGCCATGGCTGATGTGCATGTTGAACCTGGTGAAGAGGTCAAATTTGGACAGCATAAATTAGAAGTGAGGTCAACACCTGGGCATACAAGTGGTAAGTATATTTTTATCCAATATTTTCTTTTCTTTTTCTTTTTTTCTTTTACCAACTTCAACTTATAGCCTGAATTTTCCAGGTTGTGTTACATATGTTTGCCATGAACAGGGTATAGCATTCACAGGAGATACCATATTGATAAGAGGATGTGGCCGCACTGATTTTCAGGAGGGAGACCCTGCAGTTTTATACAAATCAGTATATGAACAGATTTTCTCATTGCCAGATAATTTCAAGCTGTATCCGGCTCATGATTACAAGGGTAATAGGAATATTCATGATGCCCTCAGTGTTTCAAAAACTACATTTACTTTTATATATGATTAATGATGACTCCAAATTTAGGTTTGATGGTTACCACTGTTGAGGAGGAGAAGAAGTTAAATCCCAGGCTAACAAAATCTCTTGATCAGTTTATCGAGATCATGAATAATTTAAACTTACCGTACCCGAAAAAAATAGGTATGTATTTCTTGTGTCACTAATTTTAAAATTCACTTACAATAATTTTTAGGTAAAAATAATCTAAAGTATTTCTTTAACATGTAGATGTTGCTGTGCCTGCGAATCGTGTCTGCGGAATTCAAGATGACAATTGATTGTGGATTTGAGTAAACATCAGATATTGGTACATGCAGCATTATTATCTTGTGCATACTGTCAGATATCTCAGAGGTATCAGTAACTTGATATCTGAAAATCATATCAAAGAGGTACATGCTGGATGTCTGCTTTCAGATGTATTACAGATATGTAAGATCTATTGATTTTGTATAAAATTCACATACAAAAGCAAAGGTGCGAATACATTGTTAAAGATATGAGGACGATATTTTGGAAGAATAGAGTATATTACGGTGGCAGCACGGAGAAGACTCCCCTAAAGTACGAGGGCGGCATCCCCCTCCATTCCTCACAGTTGATGGGGAAAGCCGCTCAACGAATGAGGGGCCCTCTTGTTCTTCTGTTAAGTCTTCTCCGAGCTGACTCTACCGTAAAAATGTTGTAAGAGTATTAGTTTTACACATTAGTAAATTTTCCCGGAGCACCCTTTGTCGCCCACCCCCTCCCTGTGACAGTTTGCTGCGTAGCAGCGACCAACTCCATGAGGGAAGACCACACAGACTTGATGCCGATCAATGCCCGGGCCCCCGGATGAGAGGCACCCGTTCATTCCCAGACCAGCCTGGTTTCCACTGGTCTGGCTGACCGCTCGCGAGGTCGATCGGTGTTGGGTGTTTGGGGGGGG